AGGTAATCTCGACGGCCAACCTCGGACGCAATTGCGCTGCACGGTGCACCTGCAAGCTTCGTCTAGCAGTTCCGGCAGCGGGGTCACCAACCAGGATCCCAATTCAAGCAAAACCAAGCTTCCCATTGGCCTGCAACCTAGACGAGGCCTGCAGATGCGGGCCCTTGCACCGAGGAACCTCCCGAGGTTGGCTAGAGTAGGTACTTCGCATATTGCAGTCATCTGCACCAACAAGCCAGGTACCTCAATTTCAACTTTGTTCGTGACCCTTGACTACCGGCAGAAAGGGGCAAATACAAATGTCAACAAAATTTTGAGAGAGCAGCAACCGGCGCCCAATGGAGTGCGAGGACACGCTTGCGATTTTTCCTGTCACTTGCGCCGTCCCGTCTCTAGCTTGACGTCCCGTCTTGCACGCCACGCCACGTTGACACTTTTCGCGCGCTCATCCTCGCCCGGTCGTACTCGGATTCCCATCCTGACCGCCTCCACCAGACGCTTCCCTCCCTTCCTTCCAATGCCTCGGACGACTTGTCGATAACACACCAGTTTGATCCCCGAACCCTGGCTGCCCACGCTTCAAGATCCTCGACCGTCACACGGACTGGTACGGCAGCTACACGAAAGGTGCATAACCCCACGTCCAGCTTTCCTGCACAGATATAAGAAAGCCTTCAACATGTCGGGCCGCTACTCCCTGCGCCAGACTCCCAGGTTAGTCTATTTACTTTCCATCTTGTCTCTGCATTTGAGATTGTCGGCCGAAGTAATTGGGCCCATCGCAACCGTCCCACACGACTCGAAATCGCAGTTGCGTACCGCCTTCCACTCGAAGTCAATACTCTGCACACTGAACCCGCCAACCTCCAGTTCACTAACTGGTTATTCAGGAAGAAGGAGCTCTTTGAGGGTATGGTTGAGACCCCTCGACGTGTCTCCTCCCGCCGCAAGTCACCCGAGAACGAACCCACGGCAGACACCACCGAATCCAAGATGCCAGCCCGTACTCCCCGCCGACGCGCTACGGGCAAGTTTCGCGAGGAGCTTGATGACGAGATGATCACCGATAAGGCCGTCTTGAACGGCAAGGCTGAGGTAGAGGAGCCTTTGGCCAATGGTTATTCCAACGGACACGCGAACGGACACACCAATGGACACACCAATGGACACGTGAAGGAGGAGTCCGTCAACGGTCACGCTACCAACGGGCATGTCGAGGAGAAGAAGCCCGAGCTTTTCACGAACGGCGACGCCGCTCCTCCCACGAAGGAGAACGCTCAGCGTGTCTATCAGGAGGGGGAGATCATTGACGGCTGGAAAGTTGGCACCGACCCCAAGATTGACACCTCGGGCGAGTTCGAGTTTGGTGGCAGCCTCGGCACCTTGTCCCTGATGATTGGTTTCCCTCTTCTGATGTGGTACATGTGGATCGGAGCCACCTACTATGACGGCGGTGTGCCGCGCCCTCGGGATGGAGAGTCACTGGGAGAGTTCTTCCGCCATCTTGCCGACCTCGTCTACACTGGAGCGTTCCCTTCTCTCCGTGCCTGGCGCATCTACTGGACCTTCTTCATCTTCGAGGGCGCATGCTACTGCCTCCTGCCTGGCGTCTGGGCTTGGGGTAAGCCTCTCGCTCACGAGGGTGGCAAGCAGCTGAAGTACTTCTGCAACGCCTACGTCAGTTGGTACTTCACTATCGCTGTCATGGCAGTGCTGCACTTTAGTGGTCTCTTTCCCATCTACACCTTCATCGATGAGTTTGGACCTCTCATGACGGTGGCTATTCTGAGTGGATACCTTGTGTCTTTCGTCGCTTACTTCTCTGCTCTGTGGAGGGGGGCTCAGCACCGCATGACCGGCTACCCCATCTACGACTTCTTCCTTGGTGCCGAGCTGAACCCCCGCATGTTTGGCATCCTCGACTTCAAGATGTTCTTCGAGGTCCGCATCCCTTGGTTCATCCTCTTCGGCCTCAGCTGCGGTGCTGCTGCCCGACAATACGAGAGATACGGATACGTTTCTGGCGAGGTTCTCTTCCTAGTCATGGCCCACTACCTGTACGCCAACGCTTGCGCCAAGGGTGAGCAGTTGATCGTGCCCACCTGGTAAGTTTTCTGATACATCTCACGCGACCATGTCTAACAATATCCAAGGGACATGTACTACGAGAAGTGGGGCTTCATGCTCATCTTTTGGAACCTTGCCGGTGTCCCTCTCTCCTACTGCCACTGCACCATCTTCCTCGCCAACCACCACCCCGACGAGTACAAGTGGAACCCCATTGCGCTCACCGTCCTGTTCATCGCGTACCTGTTTGTCTACTGGGTCTGGGACACAACCAACAGCCAGAAGAACAGCTTCCGTGCGCAGGAGCGTGGACAGCTCATCAACCGCAGGACTTTCCCCCAGCTTCCCTGGAGGGTCGTCAAGAACCCCAAGACCATTACCTCGGCCAAGGGCGATGTCATTCTCGCTGATGGCATGTACGGATACGCTCGCAAGATTCACTACACTTGTGATGCCTTCTTTGCCATCTGCTGGGGCTTGATCACAGGTTTCAAGTAAGTGGAAGCGTTTGCAAGAAGGCCTTCATAGTGCTGACAATAGTCTAGGAGCCCCTTCCCCTGGTTCTACCCCGTCTTCTTTTGCGGCATGATTGCCCACCGCGCCGCCCGTGACATCCACCGCTGCCGCCAAAAGTACGGTGATGCCTGGACCGAGTACGAGCGCCAGGTGCCTTACCTCTTCATCCCTGTAAGCCATTAGATCCCGCTTTCAGATGTCAATAACTAACACCTTGCAGTGGGTCATCTAAGCTACCAGATGTCCATCCATCTCCACATGATGGTACCTCGAGACTTCGGCCGCATGGCCATTTCTGTACATATATGCTTCGTCACCTACTGGTGCATCTACCTTTGTTAATAATGGGGTAATCGGAGCAGGCCGGCCAGGACAGGAAAACTGCCGGCGAAACACCTTGCCATTTCGGCATAAAAGCGTTTTAATCACGGTGACAGCCATCTTTTCGAAGACGATACTGTTGCTGCTTCTCATGTATATACGGATCACGATAATTGCTCACTGTGTCAATGAAAATGTTAATGTTAGAGATTCGTATTGAACTGATACAATTGAAGTGTCAAGAGTTAATAACACACATAAATGTTTGGATCTAAACTTCTTATCGGCATCGTTCTCGTCGCCGTCGTCTTGTACTTGCTAGTAACTCGTAGCAATTTCGCTAGATTTCTAGACGATGCTTGAATGCTCCATGGATATTTGCGTATCCTAAGGCTGATTCCTGCTTCCACCGCGCAGTCAGCTTCTCCTTCCAAGTTGGGAAACCGAGACCCTTTGTTGGGTTGATTCAACGCCTCGTACTTGACGCAAGTGGCGGAGCGCCGTAGGGTGATAACCTCAAGCAACCGATCTTGCAGGTGTATAGAAACAACGCGTCATTTTCATGCAGAGATGTAGAAGTGGCTGGAGCGGCGGCGTGTTGTAAGATCCCGAGACCCGCGGCTGGTCCTTTTGATATATTGCAAGAATCACCGTTCAACAGACTTCCGCCGATTGGGCCCAATTCCGATCTAGATGTTCCAAGTCTTGACAGGGGAGACAATATTATTCAAGCCAATGTATTGAATTTAAATGCAGCGGCCGCTGCGCTGACGAGAGCAAATGATCTTCATAGTTACTTCCAATTCATATCAAATTCGTCCGATCAAGTCGTTCGTCTTTTATACCGTGGGCAGCGTCCTCGACGACTTGCATCCGGCGTCAAAGAACTTTCTTGTCGACGACGGCAAGTACTTCATCATTGGCGGCGGAATCTCGCCTCAATACATCAAGGTCGTCGGCAAGAACTGGCTGTTGTTATCGTTTCTCGGAGGGGGCAAGCATAAGATTATAATGCTTCCAACGAGAAACATGCACAAGCATCTGGCACAATTGGCAGCCTGGCTAGGTGAGGGAACTATGAGGACGGCAATCGACTCGATCTTCGGCTTCGAAGAGGTGCCAAAGGCTTTCCAGACGTCGAAGACAGGGAGGGCAAAGGGTAAAATCATCACACGTGTAAGCGATCAGGAGATGTGAGACAGAATTGATGGAATAGGTTACAGGGCGTCAGGTAGCTGGGGCAGGATATCTGTACCTCGGGAGACATAGGAACAGGGACTCGCACCACAGCCGATCTTCTTGGAAATGTCTCAAGCAAAGCCACAGCTACAAGTTGCACATATCATCAACTTCACCACAATCATTGCCATTTTTGAAGTTGTAGGGTTGAAAGAAGCGAAAACTGCAATGGCAGTCAGAACATACCCTTTACACAAGAGACGAGACGGTGGGCGTTTCTGCGCTCTAGTAATGCAGCCTGCTTAGTGTGAACTTCGGCTGGTCAAGCCAGACATTTTGCAGGGAGCGGATACGAAAATGATATGTTTTAACTGGACAGCTATCAATCTCGACATTGCCACGAGAATGCAGAATGCTCTATTTGTGCACTTAATGATGACTGAAGGATCTAGGACTCAGTGGCTTGTAATTGATGAGCTCCAATGAGCTGCGTTACTTCGGCGCTTCCCTCGAAATCCAGTGTCAGCTTGGGCAAACGATCTGCGGCTGTAATTAAAACCCTGTCTATGCTAACCATTAAGGAGACTAGTAATACACAATCAGCTGCAGGTATCACTACAAGATTCTTAGTCCACACCCTCAGCTTGAAAGCTGACCTTGGACTGCGCCTCTAAGGCGCATTCTAGTTTTAGATGGTGTCTTGTAAAAGGTATGTAAACCCGGCAGACATCATCTACTTTTCAACTTCAACACTCGGTAGTTTCTTTTCATTTGAGCAAAATAAAATGGCGACTTGTCACGACCATTCATCCCTGGACAACGACAGGCGACCGACTGCCACCCCCAGGTGTTCGATACACTCTGAAACATCTGGGTTTACTCTCCATGCCGCCGATTCCGATCATGAAGTGCCTGGAATGGACGACTTCGATAATAGTCGGCCTGCAGACTGTTCATCAAGCACCTATGCGAGCGTTCCAACCGAGGAACCCCAGACGTCTTGTTCAACCCATCCTGAGAACGCAGCGAAGCTAGGTGATGAGAAGACCAATAGAGATACCATGTCATATAAGCCATTGCGCAATCTCGAAGTCCTCTGGCTGTGGAGATATGAGTTGCTCGCAATAACTGTATCAGTTCTTGCCTTCATATCCATCGTGATCCTTCTGAAGGTGTCCGATGGAAAGCCTCAGCCGCAATTCGCGTATTCAATCAACCTTACAACAACTATTGCTATTTTTACTACGCTGTTAAGAGCAGCAATGCTTTACATTATAGCTGAAGGTGAGAACAGTGTTCTAAATTCTATGCCACTGAAGGTTTGCTAACAGACAACAACAGTTGTCGGGCAACGCAAGTGGATCTGGATGGAAAGTCCGCGTCCTCTGCGACACATTGAACATTTCGATAATGCCGGAAGAGGCCTATGGGGATCACTGAAGCTTCTATTTTTGACTCTCAAGCCGTACGTCACCGTGCTACCACTCGAGTAAAAAGCTGATACTAAAACCTGAAGGTTGAAGAAGGCTCACTATCCTGATCTCGCTTATCGTGATCACTTCATATGCGATCGGCCCTTTCGTCCAGCAAGGAGTTAAAACGTACCCTTGTGCTATTAATGGAAAGGGAATTGCGAGAATATCAATTGCTGAACGCGTCGTAAGATCAGACGTCAGAATTATGCAGCAAGAAGTCCATCCTGGCGATCGTGCTGTCATCAGAAATGTCCGGACTGGACCGGAGCTGCAAATGGTTGCCCTCACTGGTCTGCTATCCAGCTCTTCCGCTGGCGCTAGCACTGTTAATCTTTTTCAGTGCGACTCTGGCAATTGTTCATTCCCTCTCAGAGGACCAGGGGTTACACACATTTCACTCGGACTTTGCAGCACTTGCACTGATGTAAGATCCAAAGTACTAGAATCCCGACACATTTCAAACCTCTCCCACGTGCGTGAGACAGACCGCGATTATCGATTCAACAACGGCTCCGAATTTGGAATCAGCACCTTTTTCAAATCCGGTATTTTCAACATGACGACGGAAAGGATATGGCCATACGGAAAGGAGGAAAAAGTCGAAAATGCCGAGACATCCATCCTGTCCTTTACGGCGAAAGGCTGCGGCCGTTCGAAGGATCGTGCAGGCTTGACCAGAAAATGCGAGCATAATTACGACAACATGCTGGGTCTTTTCCCAGAGTTCGACATCGTGGCAGCGAACTGCAGCCTACGTCCGTGTCTTCGCCGCTATCATGCCAACGTTTCGAATGGTGTTTTGAACGAGGAACTAGTCTCTACATCATTGATCAGTCCAGTAAACATATCATATGTCCAAGCCAACATAGCCGATGAAATAAGGAAAACGCTCGTATACCGGAATTTCTCCTACGTCACCATGGTTGAACCTTGTATTATCAACGATGTATGGTATGACTGGTCCAACGTCAGCCAAGCACCAAGAAATGGCGTAGAGTGGACCTCCTGGGACATAGGAGACACTCTGTACAATGCGCCGTCAAAATGTCTGCTATCCATGGACCCTGGAGAGCTCCTCGGAATCAGAAGATTTCTTATCCAGACGCTCAAAGGGTCATGCATGAAAGGAACTGGAGGGTCAAACAGGCCAGATCCCAGCCTTGAGGGCGGCCGGATAGTCTGCCAAGGGGGCTTCTGGGCTGACGCATTCTTCAACAGCGGAAACGCCACATTCGACGACATCTCCGCCGCCTTTGACAATATGGCGACCGCTCTGACGAACCGCATGCGCGCGAAAGGGCGTGAGTTCCTCACAGAAGCGCGGAGCTTCACGAATGGGACTGCTGTCGAAATGTCCATCTGCATGCGCGTTGACTGGCCATGGCTGGTGTATCCGGGTGTCCTGCTAGTTCTGACATTGGTTCTCCTTGCGACCACATACGCACAGAGCTGTCGAGATAGGGGAAGGCGTCCTATTTGGAAGTCGTCGATCCTGCCTCTGCTGTTCTATGGAGCAGAGACGCAGCATACTTACCTGGATACGCAGCGAGGTAGCTTGGATGCGAGACAGGCTTTGCCTCTGATGCAACTGGCTGAGCTCGAAGCAATTGCTGATGCAACGAAGGCGCGGTTCTGCAGCGGCCGGAATGTAGCTGGCTTCATTGTCGACAAAACGTCTCCTGAGGCCGCCTAAGTTGCAAGGGACCTGTATCGACGGAGGTCAAACAAGAGATGAATCATAGCGAGGAAAGCCTGCCGCTGAAATGCAAGTTGTGCCAAAAGTATGGTTTGAGAACAATTGGGATGATTGCTCTCGTATGATATGTGCGTTTTATCATGGTTACGCCTTTGCGCCAAGAGTGTCCACTCGAACCCCAAATTTGTTAGGTTTCATCCTGTTTTGAACTGCTTCTCTCCAGAATTCCTTGTTCTCGTCATTATTGACCCGCAACGACCCTGGATAGAAGATGTCCAGCAGAACCAACCCCATAGAGGGATAGTCTTTCTCGACCTTTTTGATGACAGGGTGTACCCTCCTGTCACGAATCGTCTCCTTGTGCGTGATATGTATGCCATGAGCGCTCGGCGATCTGGAGACACCAGCAGCGTACAGGTTCTGAACACTCCCAACGAGACCAATGGCGAGCAAATCTAATATAGCATCAGTTTCGAAGGGGCATGACCGAACAAGAAGCGATCAACGTACACCAAGTGTGCTCCTCCATGCCTGAAACAGTTATGAGCAGCATAACCCAGAGAAGAGTCAGGACCACAGTTATGGTTCTCGTTTGAAGCGTTGGCTTGAATACGCGCGTAGCGCGAGCAAGGATCTCGAGATCGAGCCCAATCTTCGACCGACGATTGTTCTCGATGAGTACTACGTGACGACTGCCGTTACCTTGGGTTATGGCGACAGTCGCACCTCCATCACTGGGACAGGCCCATTTTTCCTGCCGCCACTGGGGCAGCGAACTACCAACGACGGCCAAAAGAGTGCCGGCGGCCGTGACGAGGAAGATTGACCAATCCTCGTAGACGATCCACGGGACCATGGAGACGACGAGTTGGATAAGTATGACCATACAGCCGGAGTACCAGACCAAGTCAAGAGACGGGACGCCATGTGCGGCCTTTGGTTCAGAGTCAACCGTGTAGACTGAAACTCTCAAGGCTTCCCAGGCAGGTCCTCCTCTCATCTGCGGCGATTTCTCGTTGCTAGCTTCTGGGTTTGCAACGTGCTGCTGTTCATGATGCATCTCTTCGTCCACTTTGTAGGTCAAGTCTCGAAGCAGACGACCCAGGACCCAGCTTGACGAATTCCGGAGGTGGGTGCTATCGGCGCCAACAACCATGACACCATCCACGTCCGGCGCTGGCATGAGTGTCCCACCTAACACACCCTGTTAGCTTGGTTTCTCAATGAAATTCACCCAGGCGATTGAAACTCCCGTCCACGCACATCTCGAGACTCACCGCCAAGGGCATCCAGCAGGGCGCTTGCTCCATACGCCACCCAGCCGAAGGAAAACGCGACGGGAGTGATTCGGCGACCGGTCTGAGCGGCTACCGCCTTCTTTACGATTTCGGGGCCGAGGAGAAGGAGCACGGAAAGGATGTCGGCTGGGTTCCTCCACTGGAAACGCAAAGCCCGTGCCGCAGCATCGTTGAGCACCTCGCGCTTGACGGGGATGGAACTCGCTAGCGAGTAAAACCATATGGGCGCCATTTGAGGCATGATGAGAGGTTGGAAGAAATGAAGAAAATGGGAATCAATTGAGCTTTCGTAATGTTGCTTACTTCCAGGTGGATATTCGATGCAGCTGCAGTCAGAACCCCTCCTTGTTCCCCATCGTCGGGGAATGGACGACAATATAGACGAAATGGGGCAGGAGGCCTTACTACAACATGTATAGAACACGAACTCATATCACTGCAAGCATCAATTATGGGCGGGTAAGCATGGTCTGACAGTGTTAGCCTAACTTGTGCTACACCTTGCCGGGCCACACTTCAGGGAACCTTCGCGCGAAGTCACAGGCTTTCTCCTCACAAGTCAGACAAACGAAAAGCCAGACGCCGTAAAATGTAACTGGAAGAACTCCGCGCCCGCATGCACTGTCATCCAATGGCGGGAATCCGTGTGGACATGCATGATGGTAAGGGTGGCGGACCAACGGGAGAAGCCCAATGGCGATACGCCCCGTTGATACAAGTCAAACAACAAATGGTCTTCATTCTGGCCGGATCCTTAGTCAAGACCAATCGGAATCGACTGAGACTTTCATGCATAGCCAGCCACAACACAGCCATTCTTGCTGAACTCAGCCAAGTGCTTTTTCATCACGCACATGATGTTCAATTCCAGGTTTGTGAAGGGGGATTCTGACATCTGCCTGGGATTCTGGTTCAATATCGTCATTTATTTCCAAGGAATAAGGCGGCGGTTTATAGTACGTGAATATAAAAACGAGAAGAACAAAGATAAGTTCTAATGGTTCAGATGATTCTACGAAAAAGCTCACCAAAAAGATTTCCGGTGAAAGCTTCCACTCTGAGTCATCATTTACCGTTTCCATCAATAGTTGTTCTCTAGAAGCCGCTCATGAGCAAGAGCAATACTGCGCAATCTCATTTCTCGCCCAGAGTCATCCTCTTCCTCTGAGAAGTCTGGAAGCATTTCCATCATGTCGGCTGCAGCACGCTTGAGATGCTCTTCTGCATCTTCTGAGAGGCGTTTCCGCTCAGACTCGCTCGCCGAAAGAGACCTGATTCGTAGGGTTACACCAAGGCAAAGTGCAGTGACGCAGCAAAGTAAGTGCTTCTTCCGGAATAGCACATCAAACTTTTTGAGAGCGCTCGTGAGAGTCTTCTCGATGTTGAGAGCCTCCTGTTTACCCGGGATAGGTGGGCCGCCTTCAGGCATCCGTAGGCTGTAGTCGATGATTGCCTTCGCGGCGTTCCCTTCAAGTCTATCCCTTTCTGCAAAGCGGAGAGATCTCATGAAATATTCCCTTGGCTCGTCGAGTGGCTCGTCAACGCCGTTCTCCTGGCCAATGGACAACAGGATGAGGGCGCCAAGGGCGCTGCGTTTGACAAAATAATCACCGTCCCTGTCCTCAGGCCTGCCACCGCGGGCTTGCTGCTTGTTGTTAATCACCTCCTTCTTAACGTTTCCATGGGACTTCGTTCCGTTTTGATTCAAAGGCTTCTGGCTTCTCGTCCTCCCATTCATCATATCCAAAGTCCTCGCAAAGAATTGCCCGGCGTCAGAGAAGTTCTCGGATAACATCGATACCAGGCCGCGTTGATAGGTCAGCATCGCCCTGGTATAACTAGGAATTGAATGAGCCTGGGAAGACAAATCATCCTCGTTAAGACTCTCAAATAAATCAAGAGCGCTGTTGTATGCTTCCTCGGCCTTGTTCCATTCTCGCTCTCGCAGATAGTGATCGCCAAGTGACCAAAGACCGTTGATGATAGCGTGTGACTTGGCTTCGTCTTCGTCCACCTCCAGTCGCAGTTGATCCGCCAGCTCCGGATCGAGATCATCCTTGGATAGTTCGAGCAGATATTGGGCTGCTTTCTGGTTTGCTTTCGCGATTGAGTCGATTAACTGTTCCCGGAGCGACCTGTCATCAACAGTACCTGACTGTAGGACCCCCAAGAAATTCTCATCATCCCCTAGCCATTCGTCGTAGTCATGTGTACTTTCGGAACTAAGCCAGGCCACAGGAGCAGGCTTTTTTTGGGGCTCATAGTTTTCGACATCAACATCAGCCTTCTCGTCGGAGATGGAATCCTTGGGATACTCGGAAGACACATTGTCAAAATCTTCCAATTCCGTCGACTCATCAGAGTCCAACTTGCTTCCCATGATGATCTGCGAATAACGCCACTCAGACTCCTCGAGTGCTTGAGTTTCCCAGACAGTGCCAACATAGTCGCACAGCAAGGTCTGCTCTTCATTGTGGTCCGCTCTCTGGCCGAGCCTCTTCACAAGCAGAGCTGGCTCTCCTTGTTGTAACGAAGCCATGGGACGCAAAAGCAAGCAGCGCTGTATTTGGGATTTCTGGAGCGCGAGACGAACTTTGACACGCGACGAAGGATCTCTGCCAAACAGGTGGACTGCCTTTTCGTCATCCTTCTTCAGCTCCCGACAACGCCACTGACCGGATATCGCGCCATCTTCTGTGACATCCAGTAGTGAGAGGAAATCAGACATAGTGCGGCTCTCAACGTCGATGGGTGTTGCAGCTGGCATGTTGAAAATGGTTGATGGGCACCACGACCATGGGCCACTGTTTTTCATGGTGGCTTCGCCATGGAACAAGCAGAGCGAAGGAACCTTCCCCAGATATGACAGGATGTCCCGTGTGATTTCACCCTCTTGCCCTGAAAAATCGCAGTGTGGAACATCAGCGAGCAGTGCAGCAATTCTCGTCTTGTCGCGCGGACGGGAAGTAGATCGTGAGTTGAGCGTGTGGATGATGTCGCCAATATCGTTGATAGGCTCTCGCAAGCGTTTGATCCAGCTCGTAGCCAACCAATGGGCGGGACTTGTCGTGGACGGGAAGAACTCCAAGATATCCTTGTCAAGATCATACGGGACGATCTCGCCATCCTTTTTGAACAGCACCTTGACCTGCTTGGACATCTGCAGCTCCAACGCAGTCCAACCGCGAGAGAACCAGTTCGACAATACCAGCGCAACGCACGGGCTTCCGTCGTCCTTGAACTCGGTGCGAGTGAGCTCCTTGTCGTGTACGATAGTGCATTTCGCATTGGCATAGTTCTTGTGTAGGGACTTGAGAGCCTTGGCATACTGCCCCTGACCTTCCGGCACAGATACAGCGTCCCACCAGATGGCTTTCCGGTCCTCGCCTTCCCAGACTTTATTGACCTTGTCTTCCCAGAATTCCCAGAGACAGGAGTTGACCATGCGAGCGCTTGAGTCTGGGTCCTCCTCATTCTTTGACGAGAGACCCACGCCTGTCCCGTCCGACCAGACGTGGGAGATCGCGACGTAGTCATCGTGCGGGTGAGCAAGCTGAACTTTGTTGTCAGATATGTTTTCCTCGCCGCAAAGCCAGGCCGTGGAATGACCTTCGTCGACGGCCTTGTCGATTTGGTCCATGTCGAACTCCAATTTGGAGCAACTTTGATGTTCCACAGGCGCATGCATTTGCTGTGTCT